GCTAAAGTGAATGATGCTTGTATGACAAACCTTCCTTGTTATTGTTGTATTAATAAGAGACATAGTGTTTAAAGGTATAAACTAGGTATTGTAAGCTAATATAGATCCGAAGCAAATGATTTGATTGGATATATTATTTTGAGAAATCTGTCAGAGATATGTCGAATCAACTTATAAAGGACCTTGATTGGATACCTTTAGCGGACATTGCATAGATTAGTAATATATGTTTCGGACAATTATGAAATAACATTTTATATTATATAGGCGCAGTGCAGCCATTCTCGCCAGGTTTATAAAAGTTTTACATATTTTAGCGAAAAAATGTCAATGCACATATTTATATGTAGTATAAATATATAATACATATAAATTTTCTCTATGATCTCAAGGATGATGTGCTTCTACGTATGATTTTTATTTAAAAGCATGTATTAAACTTCCCTAAAAACATATATATAAATAAAAGCGTATACATATCATAGTCTCTGTTTAAACCAATTCAACTTAGTGCTTTGCATTTTGAGGTCCAGAAAGTATTGTTACTATTGTTTTGGGAGAGCTTTATACAAACGTATTCCAGGTTTAACTCCAATAGTTAACTTAAAAGTAATTTTATGTATAAAATGTTCGAAAGTAAATAATGGTTTGTACATTGCCGTCAAATTGTTGTTTTATTTTTTTTATATGTGAAATCGAAGCTTATTGGTTCACTGTTTTTAATTTTTTTTGCTTTATTAGAAATAAATTTACAAGAAATTACAGATACATACTTGTATATTATAATCAAGGAGAATTTGCACCTAATAATTAAAATTCTTGGACGATAACTCTTTTTTTTTACATCTGTTCTGGTGAATTGTTATGTAATTTTCGTATTTAGGTACTGTATATTATAGATTTCAAAGGAATTAACTTACCTTGTTCCTGTAATTGATTCATTATAGTGATTTCTTTAACAGAAGATTTATAATAAATCAATATTATATAATTCATATTAATTTCGTTATATTAAATTATTTGTAATAAATAAGATTTCAAACTTACCGGTACGTAGAGTGTAAAAAGCGGACAATTCCAAAATTTACTATGCTACGTATAAACACTAGTACGTACTGTACGTACGTACAGTATTAATACAATTAATTAAAAAAAGCTTTTGTATATCGGTCATTTGATGATTCAATTAAGATAACATGATTACGTGTAACCTAAAAATTCAATTGCGCGTACGTAAAGATCCTTAAAAAATAAGCATAAATATTTGTGTAATGACTTTTTTGTGCCTCCGATCTCTTGCCAAAAATAAGAACCAAAAATTTTATGTTTTACTGGCCAAAATTATACACTGTGCAGGCCAAAATTATACACTGTGCAAGCCAAAGATATAACATTAAATATACGGAAAAGATATTAAAATTCCTTCCGGTTAATATAAAATGCTTGGATTTTTTTTTTCTTTGATTAGAAGAAACTAAAAGTGTTAAATCATTATTTAAAAAAAACTGTCATTATTAACTTTAATAATTATTCAGAGATTAAATTTGTATGTAACTTATACTGTTGTACTAATAAGAAGGTTAAAGCAAAATGAACTGTTTTGAAAGTTTTCGTTTCCTATTATCATTATTTAAATCACACCAGTTCCCATGGATCTCTTATACTGAAAATGACATTATAAGTCGTAAACTATTTTTTGGTCATCCTGATAAGCTATCACCGAAAATATCTTATGATGGTCAATATCTTGCATATTTGGCACCTAAAGATGATGTTATGAAAATTTTCGTAAGCGATGATCCAAAACGTCCAAATGATCAAGATAAAATGGTTACTATTACTTCTGATAAATTTTTTGGAATAAGGGAATATTATTGGACATATGGAAATGAAATTTTATATTCTCAAGATTATAAAGGTGATGAAAGTAAGTATAAGAAATGCATGCACGATCTATATTCCTGTGTTCACGGTTAATATTAAACAAAATTCAATCTAGACTATAAAATTTATACGGTTAATATCAAGACAACTAAGACTATATGCTTGACACAATTTGATAATACACAATCCAGACTTGTTCACCTTTCTCCAAAGTTTCCTCAGGATGCAATTAT